TTTGCGAAACAAACTACCTAACTTCCCAGCAACCACGTGAATTGCTTTCTACAGAGCTGATGAAATCAGTTACATGGATTCAATGTCCTAGAGATAGGTTTTGTTTTGTTTTAGTTTGGAATTTCAAAAACATGCATGATTATATAGACACAGAGTTATATATTTAGGCATAAGGAATAGAAAATATTCCTTGGGGGAATCTGTATAAATACTTTTATTCAGATACTGACATAACCTTGCTATTTAGAATTAGAACAGGGGAGAATTTGCAATTTTCAATTGTTAATTCTATTTTTACATATAAGTTCTCTCAAATTTATGACATTCACAACACGCTACTGCTTATTATATTGATTTTTACTATCAAGAAGATTGGAATGGTATAAAAAGAACATAGCATGATATCTAGGAAAGAACGGAGGTTTTGAAGTCACAGTGACCTTAAGTCCTGGCTATTATACATATCAATTAAGCTTTTGCTATCTGATCTGTAAAAGAAGGATAATATTTAACTTGAAAGATGTTATGCAAACTAAAATAATGTGTTTTAATAAATAACATATTTAAAAGTACCTAGACAGTACTTAACAATGCTTAACAATGTATTTAACAATGCTAGACACCCAAACAGTTGTTCCACTCTCATTCCCAAGCATTCAAGGTCTTTTCTACACTTTCCCCCTCCTCAACCCTAAAAAACAAGATTTCTCTAAAATATAGTATCAGTAGAATTTGTTATTTAAAAAGACAATACATAACATGTTTAACGAGCTTCAAAATTAACAAAAACACTTTGCATTATTTCATTTGCTCCTCACAGAAGCCAAAGCAAATAAAATAGTGCAGGATTATCCCCTATTTAACACCAGATGAGGACATAGATCTAACAAGCTAATATCTTATAAAGAGCAAATGACACTGGCTCTGATGGCAGAGACTTGCCAGAGTTGAATCCAGGCTTTGTCATAATTTCCTCATTTGTAAAATAGGAATAATTCATCCTCTGAAGATTAAAATGAGTTGGTTGTTCACTCATTCATTCATTATTAATTTACAAACATTTAACACATTAGAAATCACACACTGTACTAGGTAGCAAGGATGAAGTCTCAAGTGACACAGATATAATCACGGTTCTCTTAGAATATAGCCAAGTGGGAGATAAAGGCATTTATCACGTAATCACACAGATACATGTAAAACTACAACTGTGTTAAGTGCTTCAAAGATGAGAGAAATCATTTTATGAGACCATCAGGTTGGGTGGGAGATGTAACCAGGTTAAAGAGGTCATGGGAGTCTTCCTCAGAGAACAGCACAAGAAGAGATCTGAAGAAGTGATGAAGAGAACAAAGAAGGGGTCTGACAAGCACAAGAAGAGAGATCTAAGGATGCTGACATTAGGGTTTCCCCTAAAAGTGGTCCACCAGATCACCCTATAGTAAAACTAAAAAAATTTGTTTTAGACCATAGTCTAAAACAAAGACTACGCAGGGAGAAGAAAACTTTAAAATAAATTCTATTACTGATACCATCTGAATTAAAAAGGAGACAATAAAGCACAAAAACCTGCTATAAAAAAAAAAAAGAATATTCAGGGACCAAAAAAGAACAATTGGATATTAAAATCTTTAATAAAATAGTTGAAGAAGTCTCCCAGACAGTAATGACAAAGAAGAAAAATAAGAGAAAAAAGAAATTCAAAGGATTAGGACAGGATAGCTAACATCTTAATAATAGGAGTTTCAAAAAAGGAAAACAAAAAGGAAGAATTAATCCAAGAATCAAATGTCATACTGAGAACATGACATATGCTTCTAAAAAGAAAAAAAACTATATCAGATACAAAGAACCAAGAATCACAGTGGCTTTAGATTCTCAATACTACACAGGAAACAAAAAAACAATAGAGTGTTGACTTCAAATCTGAAAAAAAAAAAAATGGTTTTCAACCTTTAATTCTATACCCAAGTATGAGCACAGAATAACAACATTTTCATAAACACAGTATCTCAAAAAACTTACCTCCCATGCCCACTCTCTCAAGAACGTACTAGAGGATGTATTCCACCAAAGAACAGAGTAAATCATGAAAAAAGAAGAATATATGATAAGAAAACTGGAGATCCAACAGAGGCAAAGGAAGATCTCAGAATAACTGCATTGAGTGTAGAGGAGTGTAACATAAAAGACAGACCTAACGAGGGCTGTCATCACTAAGTTCCCAACAACTGTTAACTTAAGAATGGAAGGAATATCCAAGAACTACAAGGAGAAAATAGAATAATCAGTTGTCTTGACTCTGAGAAGGCAGGAGGGGATAAGATATGATCCAAAGTCACGATGAGATCACCTTTAGAAATGAGGAATAACTATAATGAAATCCCCTTTTAAAAGATTCTATTTTCTCTGTAAATTAGGAAGAAAGATCACTTGCTAAGTGTAAAAGAGAAAGGGTAAGTTTGAGGTTTCAAGAGAAGAAAAAATATTAAAAAACATTTAAAAAATAGTAGGAAAGTTAACCAGGGAAATACAGTAGGATATATGAGCAGTGTTGATGGTCTATATGATACAGGTTTCACATTAATTTATGATCATCGGTCTGCTCTGTTGAAAAATTTTCTTCAGCAGTACTTGGCTACTTAGATGCAAGTACAGAGAAAGAGGTTATCTGGGTTCATCCTGAGTTGAGATTTCGTTTCATTTCATTTTAGCCTAGAGTATTACTTAAATAATGAACTATGAACTATGAAGGATTAAGAAGACAATGAGAAAGAATAATATGCCTAAAGTGATTAGAATAATGAATGCCAGAGTAGTATCAAGCAATCACAAAAAAAAAAAAACAGCTATTATTCTACTAACCATGGTCTTCTAGCAGGAAATGATTTGATTATTCTAACTTGTAATTATGTCTCTCTCTCACTCTTTCACCACATCGAGCTCTTTGAGGATGAGGAGAACATTTTACTTACTTATCATTGCTTCTTCCCAAAGTCTAGCCCAATAGCTACTATTAAATGTGTATGATTAAATCAATGAATCAAGCCTCTGGCTTCCAAACTATTCAAATTTTTTTAAAAAAAGATTGTAGCTAGGGCATTATAACCTTAACAACAATTCAGAAAATGGACATTTCTAAGAAAGGCACTAAAAGGCCACTGTTAATTCAACGACAGAAACTTACTAATTAGCTAACAGCATGATTGATGGGAGTTTTCCAATACTGCAGATTATAGAATTAGTATGAGGAAGAAAATGAATTAACAAACACAACATGAAAAATAAGATACAATTTCCTATTTTTAAGGGACAGGAAGGACTCCTGCCTCTATTTTTATCATTTCAATATCTTATTATGTTTCAAGAAATGAGTAATGTGAAGCATAACCTATCCAAATATTGATCAAATACATGCATGAGGACTTTGAAGTAAATTCAAGGATACATAATGTAAGAGCTGACCAGGCCCATTAACTTCTTTGTTTTTGGCAAACTGCAGATCTCCAAAATAATACTGTACCTTTCCTGGTTTATCAAATGCCATAGGGTTTTAAGAGATCTTTTTTGGCTCTAGATTCAATTAAAAAAAAAACCCAAAAACATAAAGACTTTATTTTTTGCTGCTAATTAAATTAAGATGATGTTCATTTTAAAGTATTTAAAGAAAAATATATAGTTAACAGCTTTAATATTAGAAAGCATATAGGGAATCACAATCTTAAAAGCAAGCCGTACCAGAAATTTTTAATAAACAGGTTGTCTGAAACTTGAATATATAAATTTCCCTAGAGAAACCATGTTATAATGGAAGGCCAAGTCTCTAGCTGGTCCTTGTAAGTCTGAAGCACTATGGAACACCTAGTAAAAGATACTAAAATGCCTAAACTGCTAGGTCCACCATTTTATGGGAAAATGTATGCAAAGTTCTCATGTGGGATGTCAAAACAATCCCTTGTCTCTCTCACCACCTGTATTCTAACCAGCAGAAGTTAGAACAGGATAGAAGCTAGGGAAAGGGGATTTCAAACAGTGAACAAAAATGAAAAAAATTCGTAATAGGATACATCTTAGTCCAGTTTGACTCTCTATCACTCTCATTTTCTCTTGAAGGTCCCAGGAGATAATCTGCCTCTACTCTCGAAGAAAAAACTTGTAGTTTCTGGACAGTCTATTGCTATCTCAGTGTCACTGCAGAAAAAAGAGCACCCACTCCTGTTGCATCCACATTCTCAACGCCTTTGATTCATAAAGCAAGCAAGCAATTCAATGAAAGCGATGTACCGATAGTTATTAAGGACAATACATTTGAAAGGGAATGGGTTGGAAATATAAGAGAAAGGATAATCAAATGTTTGGGTTCTTGAGAAGACAAAAAAGAATGAGATGCAATTCAAAGAAGAACTGGTCTACCAGCAACAAGAGGAAACTTGGCAGCAGGTTAAAAAAGTTTTCTTCTCCTCCAAACCATTTTCCTCTACTTCAGTGAAAATCAAAGATACATAGTGTATAAACCAAGACCAAGACCAAGATTAAGTTTGGGCACAGAAGAAATTATCATCCAATCTATCTACATTTCTCAGTGATACTTAGGGTAGAGACACCATATAACTACCAGACATTTTCTCTTGTTTTTCCATAGTATGCACCTCAAAATCTTAAAACATTAATATACAAGTGTGCTTATCGATTAAAAGGAAAATTATAAATTTTTTAAAAATCTAAGCTTTTAAAAAATAATCTTATTTTATAACTTATATATTAATGCTCCTATACATTAAATATCTGCCGCTGCGAGGGAATAATACAATCCTTTGTTGTGATTTGTTTTTAAACATTTTCTTACATTAAAATTAATTCGGGATTATCTGAAACAGAGGTTACTTAAACAATATCAAGTATATTCAAAAACATCCAAAGCAGCCTGGCTTCTATTCTACAGATTCAATCCCATACACTCAGCACTCAACTCATCAGCTGTTTTTGTCTTTAAGGAAACAAAATTACCACAGATATTAAGTCTGTATTACCTTCATAATGTTAACTAAATCTGTTTGATAGTAGCGATCCTGGTGTGCATTTGCTGCTGCTAATGTAAGAAGATAATCATTCCTTGCATGGATGGCTTTCGAATTACACTCAGATCGCCGAGCTTTTAACTAAAACAGTACAAGAAAAAAAAATCAGTGTAAACTAATATTACACTGCAAAACAGGAGGATACCTCTCTTATAGTTAGCAATTAAAGTCTTTCAACAAGAGTAAAGGTAACCATGTAGAGAAACACTTATATGCATATAAAAATTATTCAGCACTATTGAGGAATTTAAAAAAAAGTGACTAGAACTGA